ACCCTGTCTCTCTCTGTCCCCCTGTCCCTCTCTGACCCTGTCTCTTTGTGTCTCTGTCTTCCTGTCCCTCTCACCCTGTCTCTCTCTGTCCCCCTGTCCCTCTCTGACCCTGTCTCTTTGTGTCTCAGGTGCAAGCTGGCGCAGAGCAGTGGTTGGGGTGTGATGGTCAGCCATCGTTCTGGAGAGACTGAGGACACCTTCATCTCTGACCTGGTGGTTGGACTCTGCACTGGACAGGTAGGATGGGGGACAGATGGGCGGGGTTAGGTCCAAAGACATAGCCAGGCAGTTTCTTTAAGGTCATAACCAATCTTTATCCTGTGTCCTGCTGGTTGCCTCTATCAATGATGCCCCTTCTGTTTCTCAGATTAAAACCGGCGCCCCCTGCAGGTCAGAACGTCTGGCCAAATACAACCAGCTGATGAGGTAAGCGCCTCCTGATTACTTCAAAATAAAAGCCACTGTTTCAGAGTAAAAGCCCAGCTGACCTGGCTCTCTGCAGGATCGAGGAGGAGCTCGGAGACAAGGCCAAGTTCGCTGGGAAGGACTTCCGCCACCCAAAGATCAACTGAGACTCCGCCTGGCCCCGTCACCGTGCCAACTGACTGACACCTGATTACCCCTGGGGTTTAAGCCCCGCCCTCCCAGCTGTTATTCCATAAATGTTGTTTTCTATAAAAACTCAAACAGAGTAAACAGAAACAAATAAAAGCATTTTTTCGAGTCGTTTCTTCAGATGTTTATTGGCTGGACTGCAGCTGCTTCCTGCGGCCGTTCTGATGCATCAAAGAACGTCAGAGCATGGGAGACGTTAAGTCCACCCAGGTTCTCATTTCAGTCTGACAGTGAGCTTCGTCCCCAGCAGGAGTCATGTCCACACACACAATACACACACATGGCAGAGTGACGTCAATGCTGATTGGCTGAGGAGTTTGGGCTGCAGGCAGCATGTTGCCTGGTGATGACCAGCAGCCGTGTCGGGCCCCTGACTGAGGCCGGGGACATGAGGAGGAGGAGCTGTGTGCTTCATCTTCACAGAGTTTTAATCTGGGTGACACAAACTGAGACCGTCTCCGTCTCTGAACGTCCTCCTGACTCCTGGGTCCACACCTTAACCAGAAATCTGTCCAGGAACCAGGAGACTCCAGGCGGTGTGAGAGACCCCCCCCCAACCAAACAAAGGGCCCGCTCACACATTGATGATAAGAGCTCATCAATCACCTGATTAGTTGGGGGCAAAGGTCAAACCAGCAATACGAACTGAAGCAGTGAAGGTGGGGGTGCTTGGGGGAGTGTCAATATGGGTTTTTTATGTGGGCCTGATGACGTCAGAGGCTGAATAGAGGGCGGGCACTGATGAGGACAGAGGCGGCCGGGGTCATTACACAGGCACCAGACTGAGGTAGCCCCGCCCCCTTCCACAGGAAATAGTTTCTGATTAAAACATGGTCACCACGGCGACAGTTTAGGAGGAGGTCAGAGGAGCCGAGGAAAGGAACAGTGGAACAGCATCATAGGTTTGGATTTACAGAGAGAGACTTCTGATTGGCTGAGAAGGTCAACACAAAGATAGAGAGGATTCTTCATCCTGGACCTCCTTGGACCAAACCTCTGACCTCCTTGGACCAAACCTCTGACCTCCTCTGGACCAAACCTCTGACCTCCTCTGGACCAAACCTCTGACCTCCTCTAGACCAAACCTCTGACCTGCTCTGGACCAGACCTCCTCTGGACCAAACCTCTGACCTCCTTGGACCAAACCTCTGACCTGCTCTGGACCAGACCTCCTCTGGACCAAACCTCTGACCTCCTTGGACCAAACCTCTGACCTGCTCT